GGGCAGCAGGATCTATGGCATCTTGTTTTAAAAGGAGCAATTTTCTAGGCCAGCAGCCAACCTTTTCTGTTTTTTTTTTTGCTCTTCTCTCCCACTTGAGAACTTAAAACAAAGCAAAACAAAAACTAAGTGCTTGCTAGTAGTGAATGCCTGTAATCCCATCACTTGGAAGACTGAGGTCTGCCTGGGCTCCATAGGGAGACCCTGTTTCAAAAAACAAACTTTTCAATGACCCAGTGGATTTTTGTTTCTGTCTTTTTTTTTTTTTTTTTTAATTAACAGGGTTGGGGGTTGAACCCAGGAATCTAGCATGCTAGCCCACCACTGAGCTCTATTCCCAGCTCACATAGAATTGGTTTTGGGGGAAGGGGGAAAATGCCAGGGGCTGGAGAGATGGCTCAGTGGTTAAGAGCACTGACTGCTCTTCCAGAGGTCCTGAATTCAATTCCTGGCAACCACATGGTGGCTCACAACTATCTATAGTAGGATCTAATGCCCTCTTCTGGTGTAAAGGTGCAGATAGAGCGCGCGCGCGCACACACACACACACACACACACACACACACAGATATATAATAAATACTTAAAAAAAAAAAGTCACATTCCATGCAGCAGGTCCACAGTGCTCCCAGGCAGATCACTTCTCCCCAGTGATGTGGGTAGTTGAACTCATGAGCAAAAGGAGAACTTTGGCTGTTTGAGACAGTGGACACACTACACACATCTGTTTGAGACAGTGGGCACACTTACTACACATCTGTTTGGTGTTTTTTGTTTTTGTTTTTGAATTTTAAGACAGGGTTTCTCTATAACCCTGTCATTCTGTGGCTGTAGCTTGTGTTTTTCCTAAGGTGCCCAGCCTGGTAAGTGCCCAGTAAACATGTAGGGAGAGGACCTGCAAATATCAGCCAGCACTAGTGGTTGCTGCATGTATGAGAGAGAGATAAGCTGTTGGGCAGAGGAAATTATTAAGTAAAACATGTCCTTTCAAGGGAAAAGGAGTTAACCTAACAGCCACTTAAAAAATTAGATTCTTTTCTTTGTTTTTTGTTTTTGAGACAGGGTTTCTCTGTGTAGTTTTGGTGCCTGTCCTGGATCTCACTCTGTAGACCAGGCTGGCCTCGAACTCACAGAGATTTGCCTGCCTCTGCCTCCTGAGTGCTGGTATTAAAGGTGTGTGCCACCATCACCTGGCAAAAAAAGTTAGATTTATTTTATGTGTATGATATATGCATGTATGTGCACCACATGCTTGCCTGGTGCCCATGAGGTCAGAAGAGGGTGTCAGATCCCCTGGAACTGGAGTTATAATGGCTGTGAGCCAACATGTGGGTCCTAGGAATTGACCTTGGGTCCTCTGGAAGAGGAGTCAGTACTTTTAATGACTGAGCCATCTCCCCAGCCCCAACAGTTACTTTTTGTAAGCTCTTAAAATGGAAGGTCTCAATAGTGTTGGGCAGTCTTCCGAAAAGTGAGCTATTACACAGAGAAAAACCTGTTTTTGTTTTAAATTTCCAGCCCTTGAATAACAGCTTCAATAAAAAGGAGACTTGGCCAGGTGGTGGTGGCGCAAGCCTTTAATCCCAGCACTTGGGAGGCAGAGGCAGGTGGATCTCTGTGAGCTCCAGGCCAGCCTGGGCTACAGAGTGAGTTCCAGGACAGGCGCAAAGCTTACACAGCGAAACCCTGTCTCGAAACACCAAAAAAAAAAAAAAAAAAAAAGAGAGAGAGAGAGATTCTTATGTGGATGCCACAGGTGATGGAGTCTTCATTTCCCACTCTTCAGCAGTCTTGAGATGTGTTTATTTCTCTGTAGATCCTGTCTGTCCTTCCCTGCTTTGTTCTTCTGTTTGATCTATTTTGAAGTGACAATCTTCCTGGTTTTTTGGTTTCTTTGAGACAGGGTCTCTTACAGCCTGGGCTGGCCTAGAACTCACTGTCTCCAGCTCTTGAGTGTGAGGATTACATACTTGTGCAACCACATCACCTTCCTTTTTAAAAGAAATTAATTTCAGGGTTTTTGGGCTAGGGATAATACTCAATGATAGAGTGCTTGGCTAACATTCACAAGGCTCTGAGTTCAACCTCTAGCACCAGAACCAAACCAAACTACCAAAAGTTTAAAACAAAGTGTCTACAAAATGTCCCATGAAGCTGTAAGTCATCCTACTGGCAAGTGATAATCTTACCTTTTCCGTGTTTTAAAATGTAGCTTACATACTTGGGCCGTATTATTTTTGTTCATATTTCATATGGGTGTTCCTAGAAATGGGACAGATTACCTTCTGTAAGCAGGAGGATAAACTGCTTTCCAGCCTTTCCTTTCAGAGTACCTGTGGTCTTAGAGCTTGCTGCTCAAACTATCCCTCAGAGAACCATGCTGTCAGCTGAGGAGTTGTGGTCACTTTTCTTTGCATTTACGATGTCTCATGTCACACAGTTTCATACTAGTGAATGCTAGCCCTGGCTTCTCCCTTGCGAATTCATCCTAGCACCTGCAGAGCCCCGCCCACAACGTGCGCCCAGCACCCTGTGGATCCCAGCCCACTCATTCCTGACCACCCTGTACATCTTTATCCTATGCACTCATCTGCCAACCTTTTACACAGTGTTTATTTTTTTTAAAGCAGCTCAACAGAGAATTCACACTCGGTCCATCCTGAAATTCACAATTTTTTAATAAAGGGGTGGCCATCGCCACAGTCTAATTATAGACCTTTTCTAGCTAAAAGAAGCTTGTGCCCACGAGCAGCCCTCGCGTCCCCACACCGGTCCATGGCCCTGGACTCAGAGGCCAGCGAGGGGACTCTACACCGACGGGCGTGTCCTGCTTTGCGCCTATAACTTGCTGCCGTAGGGGGCCCGCAGGTTCTGCGTGCCGCCCCCGCCGCACGGCGCGCGTGGGCGAGGGGTCGGCGGGGG